CAGTGGAACTTGCAAATGTGAAGTAATCGGATTTGATTAGCTCTGAAAGTATCAATCAAAATAAAATCACTTCTCTAATAATTGCAAATCGACAACAATTGAGAGTGTTATCAAGCAATGAAATCCCGATCACCAAGAACAAGGTCTTGAGATTAGAAAGAAGGTGCACACGCTGCTCTACAAAGTAAGGAACGTCCAAGACACGATTTAATTCAATTTGAATGAATAGTTTGATTCACTCCTAATTACCAATTTCTAGGCAATTGTATAATGGGAAAGTTGTGTGTTAATTCAAAATAAAGTTCATCTAGATGTGGAAAAGAAAAATCAACTTTTTATACGCTATTTTAGAATGCCGCTAAATGCCAATGATGATATTGGTCAACTTTTTAGCATTACTTCGTTTTTAAATAGCTTAAAATGTTTTTCATACTTTTTTATAAAAAGACGAGCTAATCAGATGAGTGCGTTAGCCATTACTTTGATGGCATTTGACATGATTTCTAAAGAACAAGTGTGAGCGAAAAATCTAGCCACCCGAATTCGGAAATTGGAATAAGCCTTCAGATTTGTTTATCCTATAGTATCCCTATCTAGTCTTATAAGGCAATTGTTTAAAGCTAGTGAAGTAACTGGAAAGCTGACAATTCACATACACAGTGTCCAAGTGCATTTCGTTGATACATGATTGTATAGAGGGTATAGTGAATACACCTTGTACTACCCTAGGACTTCAACTTTGCAGCATCTGACCGCCTGAGTTGGTAATCGGGATGGAGAGGGGGGGGGGTTGGGGGTTGAGGGGGTAGAAATTAATCCAGAATCTATCTTCATATCTCCTGGTCAGATTGTGTCCATTATTGGGGTTATGATTAAAAATGCTTTTTAGTAATTATCCGTCTTTATCCATTTTTGGAAGTTAGTAGCGAATAAGGGGGATAATAAAAATAAGCTACTTCAGTAAATGCTTAGATAAGAGAAGTGATGCATCATACTAACTTACGTTGGAAACGATGAAGTACTGGTCTCTTGACAGATCCACTTCCTTCACAAGAGATGCACACAATTGTGTCCTTGGTAATTTCACCGTTCTTATTAATTTCACAGTTCCCAATCATTGGAGGATCTTCAATGTAGAATCTTCTGCAAGTACTTGATTTTGTGTTCAAATCAGATGTGAACAATAGGCACACTATAATCTTGTAACTATTCTTGAACATCTTCAAAAATGCTGTCTGAATGACCAGATTTTTCTTGTCGAAATCTGTTGTAGGCAAAAGATGTGTTAATTGAAGATCATAATTAATGTGAATGATCTAATAATGAGAATTCACATTTGCTTGCTAGCTTGAATTCGTCTGGTGTAAGGGAAATTGCAGTTCCATATTGGTCTTCTCTTTCAATAGTCCACAAGAAATTTCCAGCACAATTTCCACTACATCTTCCTTCAAGAGCAAGGTCGTTCGTTTTGCTTACACTTGTCACACCATCCCAAATACCACTCATTCCCAAACCTGGTCGAACCATTCTACAAAAGAAGTAACTTTGAAGTCAAATAGACACATTCACTTTAAATAAAGAGGTTGGAAAGAGGCATACGATATTTTCAGCAACGACACATCACCAGGTACAAAAGTGACTTGCAAATTACCAACTCCACTAAGTTGTCCAACTCGAGCAGTTGCTTTGAATAAATATGTATCGGTGAGATTAAGAAGGGTCCTATTGATGCAGAAGTCACCAGCATTCATTCCGGGAAGGCTTGGAAGGTTACAGGAAGTCGTTGCACCTGGTAGGGTGCTCGCACGACGAGAGCATGAGATGTGCCAATTTGTAATACTCTGAAGAAGAGAGAAACCACGCATTCATTCAAAGTAAAAGTTGTTTAAATGTGATTATAATATAGATTACTTTGCCAGATTTGGAATTTTGGAGATTCGGATTGTAGGAGTGTTTGAATGGGGAGAGGCAGAGCTCAGTGATACTGTCGCTGACCCACATCATTTCTTCTCCATTTTCCAGAAACCGAATGATAGGAGCCATTTCAGAAACAAGAACATAGGCGCCAACTCCAGAGTAAGATATCACATTGTTCAATATTCCCACCAACTTTACCTCAAATAATCCAGGCATCAGAAGACCAGGTGGTAGGGTGATCTTCAAATTAGCTGCTGACGGAAGTTGGGGTAAATTGATTTCACTCACCCTCTCTGCAGTCTGTGAATCCAGCTTAAAGAGCAACCACTTGAAGAGCATTGCTTGAAATGCTGAGCACACGGTTCCATTGCTTTTAGCCACTACTGTGAGTCGATCATCAACTTTAATCAAAGCTGGAGTATTTGGACTTCCAATACTTGATGTCTCCAGAGAGGTAAAAGGCAAATAGCAATTATCCTCACTGACAAATACATTTAAGCTGTCTATCGTGTTGCCCACAGAAGCCGTAATAGTATAGGCACGAGTTTCAGAGTACAAAACAGGAATGGTGAAGGACCTCTTGGCGATTGGTCGAGATAAAACGGTATAGGAGGGACAATCGTGGCACATTGACCCTCCAACAGGTGGGAAAGCGATATGAGCACCATTTCCAAGATCCACACATACACAAACTGCATCAGCAAGACCAACAAAGGAGAGTCTAAGTTCACCTTGGACGTTTGGAGCAAGATTTAATGTGGAGGGAGAAAGACGCATACCCCTCACCACACCCGTCACGTGGATGGTCTTGACAAAGACGTAGTAGTTGATAGTATTGCTCATATTGGCGATGACCTTAAAATTCCCTAACTAGGATACAAGATAGAACTCTTAACGGAATAATGGTAAGCATTCTTAATCAAATTAACCATCATTATTCTTGAACTCGTTTAATATTGAGGCGGTTTTCAATTTCCCTCCAAAACTCTTTTCTGATTTCGATATGTGAATAGGTTTTTTTCGTTATAAGTTTATTTTGCCGATTTCTGAGGAAAAATCAATAAACTATTTTCAGCCATTTAAACAATGTTCAGGGACTTCTTGTACCGTTTTACAGATTATCAAATTTTCACTTTTGTACCTGGTTGTGCAATGTCACAACATTTTCATTATTGGAAATACATCGATATGGGGTGTAAGACAGACATACCTCCACGTAGTGCAATCTGGTTTAACGTTTACTCATGCGGCAATAAAGCCTATAAACTGGTAGTTCACTTTTGACTTCAAACTACCACAACCCTACTGACAAATTCAACCACTTCCACGGCACTCACCTCACCGTTTCTCAACCTTTCACATTTGTGAATCTTTATTCTGTTCACCCCCCCCCCCAAACTTGTCATTTTGTCACTTAAATGTTCCTCCCCTCTGTGAAACCCGAAGTCAACTAAAGGGCTAATGATACCTTTCATAAGGTCTGCCATTTGATATAAGCAAAATCTTATTGATATGAAAAAGACATTTCTTCACCAAATAAATAGACAGAATTTTCAAAGCTTTTTCATTCTTCTGAACATGAACAACAATAGTCACTGTACACCAACGTACATGTATAGGATTAAAGTAGTTAAATGTTTAGGTCATATTATCGATCAAATGTCACGTGCTTTTACCACCTAGAACTGTATGATATCTCCTGAGGAGTCAATGTCATAGTTTATCACTTACATTTTCAGATCTTTAGAATGGCAAGTCAGATTAAGAGGTGAGTAATGGGACATATCAATGTATAGCATGATAGTTTGGGCGAGTATTAAGGAATGCTCATTAACAAATTATGAATTCTTACGTCGACAATCTTGTTTAGATTTAAATTAATAACCACCTGCATCAAATCCTCTTATGGATCACTAAATACCCACAAAATGACCTTTCCGACTTCAACGAGAGATAATTGTTTATTCTATCAATTTACAAAATAACTTTGTGGTGCTTCCTTTGTGCCTTCANTATTTGAAAATACCTCATTCTCTCTCTGTTACAGTGTATGAATCTAATATGGAAACTGTTAATAATATTCTAACATCACCACATTATCAGGATGAAAACATCTTCATGCGCATCAATTAGGTTCAAAATTGTGATCTAATAGTTTTAGAAGATGATAATATGGTTGCTAAACTCAGACATTCTCAGCAATAAATACTCACTTCTGAAATTTTATAAACTGTAGATGTGGTAGTGTACAGTTTGCTGAATATGACATCTTCATCTCCTTGTTCCCTTTTGATGACAAGATATGTAGCATTGATGGTTCCACCGACTGACACGGACTCGAAGCGGATGCTATCATCCAGTGTGAAGTAATCTTCGTCTACTCCATAACCAGTAACATTCAATTGGTCGATGTAGGTCTGTACTGAGGCTACGATGATGGGTCTGAAGAAACTAAACTGTAGAGAAGAAGAAATAGTACAGATGGCTTCTCTAAAGTTTCAAATTTCGGCAGAATGGTAGCATAATAAATTATATAAGCAGTCAACATGAAAGTTCAGAGCCCTTTATTTGAACAACTTCACTTTCTGACACATGTTTCTGATTATTAGTCATTCCAACAACTGACACCTTT